CGTATACTTATTTTATCACTGCTATAGCGTATACTTATTTTATCACTGATATAACGTATACTTATTTTATCACTGATATAACGTTTATTTATTTTATCACTGATATAACGTATACTTATTTTATCACTGATATAACGTTTTCTTTTTTATCACTGATATAACGTATACTTATTTTGTCACTGATATAGCGTATACTTATTTTATCACTGATATAGCGTATACTTATTTTATAACTGATATAGCGTATACTTATTTTATCACTGATATAACATATACTTATTTTATCACTGATATAGCGTATACTTATTTTATCACTGATATAACGTATACTTATTTTATCACTGATATAGTGTAGACTTATTTTATCACTGATATAGCGTATACTTACGAAGTTGCCTGTATGTGATGTTGAATCTTTGTAACGTCACACTTTCTCCTAAGTCTACCTGCCAGAAAGGCATTGGATCGTTGGTACCAGTGTGACAGCATGTTTTTGCTGTCCAATCCGCGGTTGAATTACCGTCTACGACAAGTTGGGCCACATAATCTTGGTACGTTGAACTCTGTATGGCTGGCTTGTTCAGGGCAAGGTTCACTGAAAGTTATTTCGTTCCGTTTACAAATATTTTTTATCAAATCAATTATATTAGGATGCCGCCTAAAAATTGTATCTAGATATGTGATTATTATTAACATTGGTCCTTTCTATGTAGTGAAATAACTATTTTCAAAACTTAAACTAACAGACAAGCAGAGTAACATATGGTTAGACTCGGATATTTTTTGTATTTATGACGTTAAAGGGATTACATAAACCTTTCATGCTCCAAGACATGATTTAAGCATTTCACAACAGTTTAGTTAATTCATGGGAATCATTCTTTTTCATAACGTCAGCTATGTTTATGTAATACCTCTCCTTATATTTGAGCCAAAAATATAGAACGGAATCCTTATTACTTTGTTTTGGCTATAATGCTTGGAATACCCTTAGCATAATGTTTTTTTTTAATCTCATGTCAAGTGAGTTATTTAGTCTCAACTATTAAGAATAGCTTGTAGTTACCGCATACACTTTAGCAATATTAACTATCAGGCGCCAGGCAATAGAAGAAAGTACGCAAAAGACTGATTAAGGCCCGGTAGTCTAGTGGTCGGACGCCGGGCTCGTGGCCGAAGGGTTGTGGGTTCGAGTCACGGCACGGCACTGTGTTTTATCTTTGAGCAAGATACTTTACTCCTCTTGTTCCAGTCTACTCAGCTGTAAATGAGTACGTGGTTGGGCAGCGCTAAAATTGTTGAATGCTAGCCGTTAGCGCCGAAATGGCAGCTCCGGCTGTATGTTGGCTGGTTGCAAAGTCCCTATAACCACGGATAATAATTTGTGAACCGCTTTGAGACGACCTACGAACTAGGTTGTGATAAAGTGGTATATAAAAACCTCGAATTATTATTAGTATTTAAAATGCGATCAAAAATATGACATGTTACTTTTTCTTGGTTAAACATAATGTTGAACTCCTGAATTGATAAGTGTACTGTTTTGTCTATTTTATGATGATACGGTTATTTATTGACATATTATTAATAGTACAGACATTAATACAACACAGCCCCTCCCTTAACCTCCCCATGTGTTGTATTGTTTTCAAAACTGAAGAGATGAGACCTTGACCAGATAAGTTGTGTGAAACACACTTGACCATTGACCATACTTACTAGAACTATACTATCATAATGTAAATTAAGAAATTGTGATCCTACCAGCGTTTTTCTACGGGAGGTTTAGGTTGCGAAATCCGACGTTGAATAACTCTAGAATTTCGAGAATTAGATATTAAAAACTCATTTTGAATATATACCTGTCATTTAAGTCAGTTATGAATGAAGCACTCTTTTGATTAAAAGCAAAAGGTGTTTTCTGCATGTGTTCGTTTTGACTCCATAACGAATGAAAGTTGTCTTTGACGAGCTTTCCTAAAATTAAAGTGCACACCGATTAAGCAAGTGCTCAATAACAACCGCGTGGAAATTAAACTGAAAGAGTAAAACTATCTTGATCGGAGAAGTTGAATTTATAAATGACTTCGGCAAACAAAGTGCCACATTATTTGTCTTTTCTTCACAATTTTCGCTTGCACTTTAATTACTTCAGATTTAATTACGGTAAAAAGTAACAAAAGTTGTTTACGGCATTCTTATACAGCTGGCTTTGAGTGAAAAACATGGCTGAGGTTTTGTAGATATTATAATATTCATATATGATATAAACGATTAAGACTTAAACTTTGGGGGTAAATATAGAATCTGTTAATTAACGACTGCGCACAGTTCTAATACAAAGATTTTAAAAATGTTCACCGGATGATAAAATAAAGGTCAGTTTCATACAGATTTTAACTTCAAAAATGTGAATATCTTTGCTATATTGTATACTATTAGGTAACACACATTTCCCCTACATTCTCACTGGTTGGATCAAAATCATGTGAAGGTCGGTGATTTGTGATACTACATGTATGTCGGTGCTACTATTTTTAGAAATAGCAGGTTAATGTTCACTTGATGACGTCAGTTCAATTGAAACATTGATACACAGATACACACATTTATTCTGACAATATATGCATAAAATATGTACAGGATTACATTTATTCTTTCTACTTTATTTTGACGTCACCGCCATTGCTGACATATGTTCCATGCAGTATAATGAAGGGAAGAATTCTGCATGACGTCATCAGCACTTTCATTCTTATCTTTTTCTCTCACGTCTATTTTTGTGGAACGAGAATTATGATTATGCTGTATGGAAGTTCTGACATTCATTTGAGTGCCAAGAATTCATAAAGTAATCACCAGAACCGGTAGAATAGGATAGTCCAAAGACTGCTTTATTTTGTTCCCTTCGATTGAAAATATCGGAATAGGCCATTTTGATTGTGTATTTTTAAATGTGAAATTAGTATGAGATAGACATACTTAAAATCACGAGAATCGATCGACAGGTGGAGTAAGTGACCAGAATACAATTGTGGTTCTAAGTTCCTTCCCATTGATTAACATATAAGATATATTATAAGATTACTTTTTTTTCTAATTGAAAAGGAAAATAATATTTAGACATACAATTTATGAACAACTAAATTCTCATCTCTTACCTGATGCTGTTGAAATGTGAATACTACAGAGAACACAGATGCTTAAGAGGTAGTCCATTGTGTTATAATGTCATGATGGTTCTAACGATACCGGGATCTAAGTTGGACTTAGAAGGAAGTGAAATACGCTCTGATCATTTCCGGTGAAACAGATTAATGCCGTATATCCTCTTTAGTAACAGTCCGGGCGATTGAGCTGTACTATTTACGAGTCATAATGTACTTCCGCCGAGCTATTGTTGTATATATTGTAAATATCGATCAATGTATACATTTTAGTCGGGGTATGGAGCAGGGTTTCGCTGCTCCGCCAATATTTAAACTCACATTTATCAATATTTAGGTAGCACACAAATGTAGAAAACAGGAGAATTGAATTCTAAATGGTATCGTGAAATCGTACGAGAATTACAAATAAAAGCAGTTAGATAAGGGGATGCGATCTAGTATAAAGACTCATTGCAACTAAAGTCGTACAATATGTACCCGCATGCTGTTTGACAGACGACGCCAATATTAGGGTCAAATATTGTGGATGAATCGCTTAACATTCTGTTATGTTATTCTGTAGGACATGTTTCGCACACTTTGTTTTCGTGTTTCGCACATTTTAATTATCTATATACTTTTTTGATTTTGCAATACATAATGTTCATTTTTGTGTTGTTGTATCCTCAATTCCTGTTGTTGTCAAACCGTTTCACTTTAAAGTCTATTTTTTGATCTGGTGTCCTGACAATAATGTATATATCGAAATTAATTACTTTAATTAATTAAAAACATTAAATGTTCATATGAAATGGGTAAGTATAGAAAACATATAATATAATGACCGACTTTAAAACTAGCAGCTTTCATCAGTTACAGAGCCCTGTGAAGGGTGAGAGCAGCGATTTGTTTTTTAAATCAGTCGTTATGTCTTATTTTCTATACATAGATACATACATTTATGCTTTTCAACATAATACTGTGAAAATAATTGATAGAGATTTTAAAGAAAAATAGTTACTAATGTTTAATAAAACCCAATTAATTAAAAGTAATAATTCTAATGTTTTAAAAACGTCTTCTGGGATTTAATGTGAATCTATTTCCATTCATAAACCAGATGCGTATCTGCCTATACGCTGGTACGCAGATGAATCGAACCAAGTTTTCAAACAGAAAAAAAACCCCAACAGAACCCTGCCATGGACCCGCTGCTAAATTAATCCACTCCGAACAAGGGCTAGCTACGTCCCTGTATACCCATGATATCAACATCCCGTCAAGTGACTCGGCACAGCCATAGACACAAATATATTTTTTTTACGATAATCGGGATTACGTGATTGATCATCTGTTATCATCTTTATATAAGCTAATACAAATATTAGTCCACAGGTTTGATATACCAATTGGTCTAAACTACCATTGAAAGAGAAGGAGAGATGCTGACAACTCTTGAATTATACGAATTAATTAAGTCAGAAGTAGTTCAGCAACGTAATAAACATCGTTTTACAAGCAAACTTGTACTGGTGTCCCTTTATACATTACCTCTCATTAACAAGGTTGTCTAGAATTAAGGGAGGTAGTAGCGCTTTGTTAAGTAAAAACCAAATCAGAATATATATTTAAAATAAATTAATCAAATTTTATGGGCGGATTGGTCGAGTGGTTAACACTCCGACCTTCCACGCAGGCGGCCGGGGTTCGATCCCCGTAGTCGTCGTACGCATGGATATTTAGCGAAAGTGTTTTTCTCATGCCAAAACAACTCCAACAACCCAGGTGGAGTATACATTGGTCTGGGGTGGATATTGTAGTATTCAAGTGAGGTGGCACATAGGGAAATATTAGATATGTAGCCAGGTGGCATACGACTGGTAGTTCGCGCCTCAAAATTGTATTGATTGATGTATATGCTAATTGTATCAATTGCATATCTATTTACTGTAAACCGCGTTAAAGTGGAGCTAGATAGGGCGCTACATCAAATGTTGTATAATATTATTATTAATATTATTTAAGAAAAGAAGTATAATAACATATAAAATACTGTGACGTCTTTGTGTAGTCATACATTTTGGGTTCAATCAGTATAAAGAAACAAAACATTTAAAATTATATTAAAATACACGTAAGACAACATATCAACGATATATATATTTATGACGGGTTGGCTTGGTATTGTTTCTAATGTATAACGGAAACTCAAAGGAAATAATACCGGACAACGATCTCACCACGCGTCGGCGTCTCGGCGAGATAATCTAGATAAAACCTTTCAAGCAGATTATGCATATAGTATTTACAAAGCCTACCATATAAGCTTCGCATTTCCTTCTCACGCAATGTTGACATAGCCTGTACTTTCCGGCAGGACCGTATTTGTAGCTTAACATGTTAAGTAGTAGATGTTAAATGTTTCATGCTTGTTTAAGTAGTACCATGTTAAGAAGGGCATTTGTTAATATGTAATGTTTGTAAGAGTGAGAAAAATTTAAGGAAAGTGAATGTTGTGGAATTGAGTGAAGATGTGAATGTTGTAGGCCCCTTAAAACTGTATAACTCTTATATGGACTTTTGTTAAGATGTGAATGTTGTAGGCCCCTTAAAACTGTATAACTCATATGGACACTTGTTAAGATGTGCATATTATAGGCCCCTTAAAACTGTATAACTCATATGGACCTTTGTTAAGATGTGAATATTGTAGGCCCCTTAAAACTGTATAACTCTTATGTGGACATTTGTTAAGATGTGCATATTGTAGGCCCCTTAAAACTGTATAACTCTTATATGGACTTTTGTTAAGATGTGAATGGTGTAGGCCCCTTAAAACTGTTTAACTCTTATATGGACTTTTGTTAAGATGTGAATGTTGTAGGCCCCTTAAAACTGTATAACTCTTATGGACACTTGTTAAGATGTGAATATTGTAGGCCCCTTAAAACTGTATAACTCTTATATGGACTTTTGTTAAGATGTGAATGGTGTATGCCCCTTAAAACTGTTTAACTCTTATATGGACTTTTGTTAAGATATAATGATGTAAGATTGTTAAATAAGTACTATGGTAAGCTTAATCAAACATTTGATTTTGCGACTGTAATTCGTTTCAGAAATAAATCCACAACACTAAGTAATAGCTCCTATATGGAAAATTGCTAGAATAATCTTGATGAAGATAGGAAGCATGATATAATTTTGAGGGTATACAGGGGCGGATCCAGAATTTCCTAAAAGGNGGGGGGGCCGAGAAATTTTTCTCAATGGTCAACGGTGTGCTGCCGAAGGTCCACCGTCAAAAAATAAATGTAGGGACGCACAATATCTAGTCTTCAGACATTGTACCTACAGTACAGTACTTCATGTAATAGTTTGTCGTACAAAAGAACAAATAACACCATAACATCGTTGCTGTTTAATTAATGAGTTACTCATGGCATCACTAAGTTGCTTAACAAACGGATTATTTCAAATCAGTGCGACACCCAAGGCCACTAGCTATATAGTTTCGTGCCTGGTATAGAAATGGATTATGAAAACGTCATTCATTAGCACCCTTACACAGTATGAGGTTAATCGATATCGTTATTAACGTTTCATTACTCCGGGTATATTTTTACCGGGTATGACGTTATGTGAGTACCACATGTGGTGTAGGAAATACTTGCTCTAGCGGAGCACACAGTTTCTTCTCAAGCAGGTTGTGGAGTGTACATGTTTTTTTTTAAAGTCTCCCCAGTTCCTGTTGATGTCCCTTTCGGGCAACTTTGAATGAATAATTCCTCCCTGTGCGTGACGCTGCGGAACCTCCTTCAAATGTTATTAAAACCATGTTGTTCATACTGAAGGTTTACGTTTGGCGTTCGCGTCTGTTGCATAGAGACATTATCGCGTGACGTTACCGGAAACTTAGGTCATTATTTAATGGACGTTTTATTGAATGTTAATCTTTTCTTGACTAAACAGTTCATAACAAGATTTTGTACATGTTAAACGACAGAGTTTTACTTTCCCGTCAATGTTAACGCCGAATGAGGAAACAGCGAGATTCATTGCTAAATATTATTTTCCATAATCATGAAACTGTGATTTGATGATCTCATGATTCTGTGCTCAATCCTTGGATTTGTTTCAATTATGAGACACGATCAAAAAGTTAAGTGTTAACACTGAAAACAGAATGTGGCGTTGGGTCTCTCCAAATGTTTTCCAAATCATGGTTGATATGTGTTTTTTATCACCGGATATGAAATTAGGCTTGAGCACAAAATCTGTGCTTAAACACTAGACGGTTTGATAAATACTGTTCCTGATCATTTAGAACTGTATGAACTCTATCAAGCATATCAGTTGATGTCATTTAATCCAACAAGGAGGTCACATATGTCTTAGTGTTTGAAACTCTTTTGAAGAGGAGATTCCTATCTCAGAAAGGTAGCATGTAGCCTTAAGTTAAAATCATTTATCGAATAGAATGAGGCTGATAATTAAGATACAACAATGTAAATACGTGCAATTTTGAAATTAAAACAAGAGGCCCAATGGGTCTGCATCGCTCACCTGGTATAAATCTCACACTTGTAACCTTAAAAGTGATCTAAAATAAAGCTACAGGCAAAATATCAGTATTTATGATTAAAATTCATTCTAAACACCCTTTTAATTTTTTTTAAAACATTTCACCCCTGTCATTGAAAGTCGAACAAAGTCATTATGTTGAACACATTTTATAGCCTTTCTTTTCAGGATGCAACTTGCAAAGTATCAACATCCTGGGACCCATGGTTATTCAGAAGAGGTCGTTTAAAGATTTTAAACAAATTTGACCCCTGTGACCTTGAATATGATTCAAGGTCATACATTTAAACAAACTTGGTAGCCCTTGATCCTAGTATGCTACTGACTAAATATCATCACCCTGGGCATTTTGGTTATTGAGAAGAAGTTGTTTAATGTTTTTAACATATTTGACCCCTGTGACCTTGAATATGCGTGAAGGTNACGCTGCGGAACCTCCTTCAAATGTTATTAAAACCATGTTGTTCATACTGAAGGTTTACGTTTGGCGTTCGCGTCTGTTGCATAGAGACATTAT